GGATGGTTAGAAGTAGGTCCAAGTGGGGAGTCCTAAAAGTTAGGTCTAACAGAAGTCCCAGTAGAGGGTCGGCCACCATGGTTAGGTGAAGACCTACAGGGTGGGGCAGCAACCCTGATGTTACTAACAGATGGGTGACCATAAGTAGGGGAAAGGTATTTTAATCCAAGTTCTCGTCTCATGTTTTTCCAATCGGAGGTAGGGTATTCGCCACGAGACTCTTTATGATCTTCTAACCTCATCCAAAATTGGAGAGCATTACCGCTCAGGTGTGACCTAGCAATGCTAAACTGGCGAGAATTAGGGATTTCATGCGATTCAAAATAGTCCTCTAATTGTCTAACCCATTCTCTAAAGTAGTAAGGGTCCAAGGAACCATCAAAGGTGGGTAGACGGTAAGGTGGCTCAAAGCGAGGTCGTTGTGGCTTAAACTTGGGTCTAGGTTGAAAAGCAGAGTGGGACACATAATTCGAGTGGGGATAATCAACGGGTTTCTCCGTCATAATTCTAGTCATATTGTCCACTAGGTTAACAATGTCATCTAAACTCTTTTGGAGTCTTATCGGGTCCATTGGGAAGCGTCAAGTGAAACTCAAGGCTGATTGGGTGTAAGGGACATCATATAGACACTAATTTAGGCTCACTTCAAGGTGCAGAAAATGTTCGGACAGCAAGCTACACTAGTGGGTTAGGTAACCTAGTCACTTAGGAAGGTTGCTAGGGTGGTGGACAGCACCTACACGCTATGTTAGGAGGCTTCTAAGCTCCTAAATACTGCTGGAATACTAGGGACAGCAACCTAACACAAGGTGGCACGTTGTCTAAACTATTTAGGGTCTGATGTAAAGCGGGGACAGCAACTAGGACAGCTTTCAGGTCACCTAATTGTCTCTAACAAGTGCAGTTTGTGAGTGGACAGCAAAACTACACAGCTAGGAATACTATCCTAAGGGTTCAGAGAGACTCCTAAGGTGTGGACAGCACCTAGGACTTAAGTTAGAGACTCCCAAAGACCTCTAATCACTGCAGGAATTAAAAGACAGCAGCTAGACACGGGTTATAAGTCCACTAAACAATGTCTAACAGCTGTAGGAACATTAAACAATGTCTAACAGCTGTAGGAACATTGAGGACAGCAGTTAAATCTCCCGGAGTAGTTGCCCTAATCACTTAGAAACCTTACAAGCAAAAGGCCAGCACTAAAACACTAGTTAAAATGAGCCAACTCAACTAGATGATTTGCAGGAAATGCAAAAACAGTAGTGAAAACAGTGAAAATTTTTCTGTCTACGCAATGATATACATGCGAGTGTGAAGCTACAATGAGAGACTAAACCCTATGATGTTTTCTAAACATGTCAAGCATGGTTACCATGCTCTGATACCAAATATGACGTGAAACAAACTCATTCAGGAGTTATTTTAAGGAAATTAAAGAGAGCAATTTGAACAAAATAATCCCACAATAAGTTTATTACTTATAACAATGATTAATCCTTAGAATTCTTGGTTTTTTAACTTGTTTAGGTAGAGAAGAGCAAATCCGATTCCCAAACGATTTAAGAAACCACAAAGAGTAAATGTAAAACTACGACGATACACAAGAATCCATGACTTAATAATGAGAGCTTCCACCTTTGGAGCCCATACGCTCAACTAGTCTAGGCTTTAGCGGAAGAAGAGTCTCCACATTAGATCCGAGGTCACTCCGAGGGAGAAGAAGCATAAGATCGTCGTTCTTGGATAGGTGGCCGGAGTACAGAATTCTTGACAGCGGCTTCTTAAAGGTGTGTTCAGCGGTCTGGAATGTTTGGACAGTGTTTGAAGACCTTCTAGCGGGCTGGACAGCAAGAAAGCATGTTCCCGATCTCCTAAACAGCAGATTTCAGGTGCGTGAAATGCAAAACAGCAGACAGGAGAGGTCTGGACAGCAATGGGTTGCCTTATGGAGCAGTCCAGCTAGTGTGGACCTGTAGAAATCTGCTGGACAGCAAATTACCATCATGCAGAATTGGTGAGGAAAATCAAACCCATGGCAGAGAGGAGCTCGGGTAGGAGAGAAAACTGAAGGAAAATTTTCAGATTTCTTGTAATAATTCAGATTTTAAACATAAGGAAAGTTTCCTTACTTGAATGGGAATAAGAGGCAACGTTTTGAATTTCAAAATGGCTTTAAAATTCAATTATGACACTTGCCTCAATTCTACTGTTCAATTTAGGAAAGCAATCAGAGTCTCATGAGAGCTTTGAATTTCAAATTCCAAACTCCAAGAGGGGCCGGCAGGTGGAGAGGTGGGGAAGGAAAATTGGGGAAGAGGGGGCGGCGGCTTGGACGAACTTTCAGGTGGTGGTGGCCGGCGGCTTGGGCGGCCCAAGGTGGCCGGTGGCAAGGGGCTTGGGGAAGAGGAAGGCGGCGACTGGAAGGGGGGGAAGGGAGCCGGCGGCAGGGGAAAGCTTGGGATTCCAACGGGAATTCCACTCTCCACAATTTCTTCAATCCAATCTCCACGACGACGAATCAAGCACGAGAACTACGAACTAAAATTAGTAGAACAAGAAGATCTAGAACTCACAAAGAGATCTAGCTTCTCCTACGAACTCACTAAGAGATCGTGGAGGTTTGCACTCACAAAGAGAACAAGAAATGTCAAATTTTTATTCATCCAAAAACTTCCATTACAATGCATGAGGCCTCATTTAGATAGGCCAAAATGAAATAACAAGAAATGACACAAATGCCCTTCCGGGCTACATAAGCGACTAAATGCCCATAAGGGCAAAAGCGGAAAAACATCAAAATAAAATAAGCTACTACATAAAATGACAAAATATAAATCATGCTCGTGGCCGTCGATCTCCGGCGTCGAAAATGCTGACGATGTCCTCATCAGATTCTCAAATAAAAACATAATTTTCTATCTATGTTCCATTAAACTCTCCCATAATTTTATCATAGGATCATAAGTTTAATTTTCATATAATTACCATAATCATAATCATCTACTTTATTCCAGAATACTCAAACTAAATTGCTTCTTCTCTAATCATTTTGAATGCTCTTAGTCATTAAATTTCTATTCAAAAAGTTTATAACCCAACTACTATAAAATCAATTATAACACATCAAATCTTAATTATATCTCGTGAGGACCTAAAATTTTATCTTAATGAAACTTCATCAAACCTAACCCCACTAAACTTTCTGGATCAATCTATAATATATTTTATTATTAGTTATTACATTCATTGTTTTGTTCCAAAAACATATTTAACTTAAAATTCCCATTTAATAAGTCCTCAAAAAGTGGCACGTAACATCTTTGTTTTTGCCTTATTATCATTAATTTTAATCAAAATGATTAAATCTTTTATCTCTTGCTTGATGTATTTTATATATCTCATTTAACCTCCCTTAAAATATAACATATTAAACAAATCATCAATAGCTATATCTTTTTTCTTTGCTTAAGCTTTGAAAGATTTCTAGCTTTTCTATAATCATCTTAAGTATTAGTACCATCTTTTTTTTTGTCATGCCTTAAAAGCACAATTTTTACCTGAATAGACATTATAATCTCCCATTCAGCACCAAGTCTCCTCACTTTTCCAAAAGTTATTTCTAAACTCTCCCAAAACCAATCAAGTTTGGCACAATGCAATTTTCAATTGCTCTCTTAATAACATATCTTAAAAGATTAACATCTCAATTTTCAAATTCCAACATCTTATCTGAGGGTAATTTTATATTTTATTCATTTTCTTTGTACCCATAAGATATGCATTTATAGCAAACATCCTGTGCAATGTGGTCAAACTAATGCTTCGCTTGGGACAATTTTTTGCCACTGCTTTTTTGTTGCTTTAAAAAAAAAATTTGTTCATAAAAGCTGCTTTAAACACTGAGAAAGCCATCCCAAAAGAAACCTAAGTCTTAGAACAAACTTTGCAGAAGCACTTTCTTGTTACTTCAAGTAAAAATAAGTTTATTTGATGATTTGATGCTTTGGGCAGCTTTTTATGTCCGTTGAAAATCACCATATACAGGTCAATAGTCTACTGTAGAACAGGAATTGGCATTTGGCATGAAGAAAATCAACAAACACTCTACTCTGGTTCCATATTAAGTCATAGATTATGGCCTTCAGTTTAAATAGCAACGAATAATTTTATATTCTTCAATTCTTCAAAATCTGTAAAATGCCAATTATTGGCCAATGGCCAATTAATGATGTGGCATCATATGTAAATATTTGTTTCAAATTCCATGACAGTAGAAAGACAAGTCAAGAATAATTTGCAGCTATTTTAGTGGCTTTCTAATGGCAGATCAAGTACCAAAATGGTTTCCAGGAGAATAGTCCTTAGCATCAATTTTATTCTACTACCACAGAACAGGGACAGGACCGGCATTTTGATCTGCGGATATCATTTTCAATACCTAAATTTGGCAGTTGCGAAGCTACAAAACATAATTGTCAAAAATCATGTTTGCATGCAATAGTTATAAGTTATGTAACATATTTCACTAATACACCAGACAATGTTTATGTCAAGCTTTGTATAATTAACTAAGGATTCGTTTGGGACGGCTTTTTTACTACTTCTTAAAGCAGCTTTCTAGTAAAAAAATTAATTTTTGTAATTAAAAGCTGCTTTAAGAAGCAATAAAAAAACTATTCCAAACAAAATCTAAATCTATCTACTGTGCTAGCTTTTAATTGGATGTGCATAAAACCAGGACAAGATTAACTTAACAATACCCTCAGAACATGTGGTTAATGGAAATTCTCTAATCAATTTCCCATTCCAAAAACAAAATATTTCTATAATCGTCCATCCCACCCCCACCCCTACTCCCAAAAGAAAGAATTACAAAAAAGGTGTTGATCAAAAATAAGAACAAAAGTTATTTCTAAAAGCAGGTTATAGGCCAATCATCAATCATATCAACATTTAGGTATCAACATTCATGTGAAGTTGAAAAGCCAAGAAAAAACAACCTCAAATTTCTCACTACACGTATGAAGACGAGAGAAGAGCTTCTCGGTAAAACCCTGCAGGTGAGACATAAAACCTTCATTATGACTTGGAAGCAAGAAAATTCAAAGCAGAAGAGGCTCATTGCAACTAGCCTGTGCGTCTTTTAGATGAACAAGAGGTGAATAGGAATATGAGCCACTCTTCTCTGATGATCGACGTTGCTGTCGTTTCATACTACGAATAACACGTTGCAATTTTGCCTTCTTTTTTCTCTTGCTAGAAGCAGTGCCCTTGTGTTTTGCCTGAAAAAGTATGAAATCATCACTAGAAAAATGCCTGTTACTTTTAACCAATCACCAGTCTTCGACAATTCTTGAAAACATATCAATCTCAGCAACAACTTGAGCATTTTATGTATTACAAGTTTTTCTTACGACACAAATAACACTATCCGAAAATTGTACAACATACAAAAAAGCACTTCCAAGTTAACCAAAGCTACCAAAATTAGAGCTCTGCTATCAAACTTCCAATCATTATTTAAGTATTGTTTTATAAGTTAAAGATCATTGATCACAATATGTGCGTAAATTGAAGGGATAGTCCGGTCTTAAAAGTTTTAATTTAGGTTTTGTTTGGGACGGCTCTCATGCTGCTTCTTAAAGCGGCTTTCTAGTACAACCGCTTTAAGAAGCAGCAAGAAAACCGTCCCAAACGAAGCCTTAATGGACTAAACTTTCTGATCACAGCAGTGATGCGCGTTTGTATTTAAGGCATTAGAAGATGAAGTATTAACGTGAAAGAGTTAGGATGGAAAAGCAGATCAAATCTCACGTGGTTAACCTTTATTTGCAATGTTTTTCTTAAGGCATGGGTAACATCAAACACAGATCTATATGAGAATTGACAGTGAAGGACTCAGAAGAACAACCCCAAATAGTTGAAATAAGGTTGATGGCAATAACTAAAATTTCACCTTTTACACCCCATCACCTAGTCTGCCTCTAGGTAGCAGCTAGCATTTTTTTAATATAAAGGAATTTAATTTTCCTTCGATGGCACTCTTCTGCTGGATACATCAAGGAAGAGAATACCATATTATCCAAGTTTCTGAAAATTGGAGAGAATATTCAACCAGAAAAATGAGAGGCTCAACAAAAATTTAACAAGAGTTGAATCATGACTATAAAATAAATATTAAAATTATTTAATTAATAATTAAATGACCTAATAATGTGCAAATATGTGAAAAGAATAAAGAGAAATACTTTGAAGATGCACATAAAATATCTTATATAATCTAAAATTCAAGTACCTTCTATGTGAGTGTTTAAACTCTTCTTTTGCAATCATAATCAAAATTTAAATGAGCTTGTAAAATTTTATTAAGGAAAATTAAGGTTTTAAATTATTTATACAAAAATTATTTTTTAGCAATCTAATTAAAAATGAATTGTGATAATCTGATTATGACATGAACCATACGGTTCACCCAAACCAGAACACACTCACCAATTTGATTGTTTGTTCACTCCGATTCTTTTATATTCTTGACAAAAACGATTTTAGTAGTGAACTAAATCAGTCACTGAACCAGTTTGCAATTGAAACAGTCAAACCAGCTGATTTGGTCCAATAGTTTCATCCTTGCAATTATCACTGAGCATAAGAAAGAGAGAAAAAGCTTCCTTGGCAAACCATTCAGCTTAAATAAGTGGAAAGACAGAATAATGCATGGGATAGATAGATTTCTTTAACTGTGAACTGAAAGCATATAAGTGATGATTCAAGTTTGCTAAACACTAGACAGATGATCTTGACATAGACTAAAGGTGGAAAGTGGTAAATGGTATATTTCTCAAAGTTGTGATTACTAAAATATTTAAAGTACTAAAAAACTCATTCAATATAAAAAATAAAAATAAAAAAACTTTAGTTGCCTATTTATTACATCGAACATATGCATCTCAAGAGATTTAAGAATCCAAATAAAACAACAAGAATATAATGCGTAAGCTTGACTGGCCTTAGAAGGCATTACAAATTAATGAAACAAAGAAGTTTTAATATGCAAAGGAAACAACACATTAGTTGTTGCATTGAATTAAAAACAACAGAGTTGATTCAATCCATTTAAAAGGTAGGTAGGCATATATGAATAAGCACTCTAATGCATTTGGTTTATAGAGCTCCCCCATATCATATGCCTTTTTTTTAAAACATCCAAAAAATATTGCTTTCAATATCACATCTTGGTTATGGTTTATCCAATGTCACAAGTCTTGCTTATGATTTCTCTTACTACCAAAAAGAGGGAAACTCATCGCTGTCTGCACAACATACCTTATAAACATCCTCCCTGTTAAGAACAACTTGTGGATTTTGATTAATTTCATCGTCATCACTACTTGAGACTTCACTATCGTCAGCATCATCTTCAATGTGTTCAAAACCAAGAAGGAAAGAAAGAGCAGCTAGCATAACCCTGAACTCAATAAAATATAGATATCAAAATAATTGGTAAGACTTCATATATATGTGCAGACATCAAAATAAAGAGAACAAAATAATCATTGGACTTTCATAACTATGCAGAGAAAAAAAAAAGTATAGACCTTGAAGAACTGTGAAAGCATGCATTGCATATGGCATTAGCTGTGCGCTCATCAAACCACACTTTTCTTCGATGAAGATCACAAAGAACAACAAGTGATCTCCTTGCTCGTTGTTCTTCATCTCCCTAACAAAAACAAATTAAGACAATCAGCAAGAAAAATTATGGAAATACTCATAGGCATATAAAACTATCAAGTAGGATAAACAACAATTAATTTTTTTTCTTTTTAATTGCAAAAATGATAAACATAGATAAAATAGCATTTAAGAGAGAATTATATATATAAAGTGTGTGTGAATGTGTATAACAACAAATCCATTGAAAATAAACCGAATGGGTTGCAAATTCGCATTTAGATAGATTCAAGTATAATCTATGCCTGCGCAGGGCTTGGAATACTAATGTAAGATGCTGAATGTGCTCTTCTAGGGACGAACTATAGACCAGTATATCATCAAAATAAGATACACAGAATCTGCCCGAAAATGGCTTCAGCACCTATGTCATCAGCCTCATAAAAGTGGAAGGGGCGTTGCACAGCCCAAATGGCATAACTCGCCATTCAAAGAGTCCTTCCCGGGTCTTAAATGCTGTCTTCCATTCATCTCCGGGACGAATATGAACCTAGTGGTAACCACTTTTGAGGTCTAATTTAGAGAATACAGCAGCGCCTTCTAATTTATCCAGCAAATCAGGAATCCTTGGAACAGGAAACCGGTACTTCGTTGTGATCTTATTTATAGCACGGCTATCTATACACATCCGTCATTGTCCGTCTTTCTTGGGGACTATCAACGCAGGTACAGCGCAGAGACTGAGGCTGTACTGAATGAGTTGCCGTTTCAATAGATCATCCACAATATCTTGAAGAATAGCGTGTTCTTTAGGACTCATTCGGTAGTGAGGCAAATTGGGCAAGGAAGCTCCTGGAATCAGGTCAATTTGATGCTGGATGGTGCGAAGTGGCAGTAGATGAGCGGGCAACTCTGTAGGACCAATATCAGCAAACTCAGTTAGGAGTTGTTTAACTGCTTCAGGGACGGCGTGCAGGTCCTATTGCTTGTGATTGTCAGCAGCCACGAGAGACATAACTGGAACATCTTCGGGACGAGATTGTAATAATATATGACCGGAC